TTGTTTTTTCTTACGAAATAATATTAGGTGATAAAAAGATAAAACAAGAAAAATGAAATTTCACATTCATACAAAAGAAAATGATCGTTTCGCAACTTCGAAAACTAGTTACACAGATGTTTACTTTCTTTGAGAACAAAACCTACACAATTAAAATAAGCTTTACTATGAGGATTGTAGAGCTTTTTACGCTGAATCTTATGGTATATGTTGCTTTTTTAATAAAACCTATTTAGAGATTAAAATATGAAATGCAAAGCGTAGCCCACCGGTGGGCTACATCGTGGCGAATGTGTTAAAAACTCATAAAAAATTATTATAAAGATGCGTCGCTTTGCATTAGTAACAAAAGAAAAAAATATATCGTGACGAATCGATATAAAGATATTTTTCGAAGGATTCATAAAAAGGAAAAAAAACTAACACGTGTATGTGTTGATCATCGATCATTCTCCACTTACATGCAATGTTTTTTCTACTGATTCTTACCTTTCTATTATTGGTCTATGTTTATACCAAACTGAAATATTTTACTCTTCGTGGTCCTCTACCTGGCTTGTCACCGCATGTTTATTTCGGAATCTTAATTCAGTCGGGTATACTTTTCAATGGCGCAACTACTCCCGAAATTGATCCATTGTTCAAACGTCGCTTTGGCAACATTTTTCAATTTTGGCTCGGTCCTACACGGATAGGTGTCGTCGGCGACATTGGTGACGTGGAGCATATATTTACTCATCGACATATTTACGACCAAGCTGATCTCTATATTGAAAAGTTCAGTCTTATATTTTCTGACGCACCAATTTGTATCAAGGGTCAGTTGGGTTTATGTGTTCATAAATGACTGAAGAATTTTCATATAATAATTTTCAGGAGCTAAATTCAAACGTTTGTTCACAGTGTATGGATCATTATTTCGCGGTAGCAAGAGGGTTGGGCGGGTGTTCTTCTAACCTACTCTCATCCACACGCACACCCTCAAAAAGTAAAAAACTTGGTTTGAAAGGTCATGAAACTGTCTATAAACATTATATGGGTAAAACGACTATGCACACTTTTTTTAAATGGTGTGTAACGGCGGAAATTGCCGGTTTCTTAGTTCCGGACATCTAATTGTACCGTTTGGGATTTGAAAGAAGCGATTTTTTTAGGGGGCCGATTTGTGTGCTTAACGTCCCCCTCCTCTATGTTGCTCTCTTGAATCCTTCCAATAGTTATTACTTAGTTGCCCCTGACCATCGATCAACCGAAGTTATATGTCAAATATTAGAAAAACAGAATAAAAACCGTATTATCTTATCGCATGGTTTCTGCTATAATTTCATGCTGTCAATGACAATTTTCCAACTTGATAGAAGTCTGTCACGTGGCATCATTCAGATCGGAACGAGATTCAAGTAAAACCGATTTATTAGGATATAGGTAGGGTGAGCGTAGAGTCCACAAACATTAGATTTTGTCCTTTAACGCCACTTGTGGATAACGAGACTATGGCCAGCCATGCTTGCCGCCGTTTCTTCTGCACAATCCGCCGCATACTGAGACACCTGCACCCTCAGGTCCGCCTGATGCTGAGCCATCTTCAACTGAAGGTCCCTTTCATGCTTCCCTTGAGCTTTGATATTTGCTATGACTGTCTGTAGATGCTTCTGATATGCTGCTTGATCTCGCTCTGCATCCTGGATGATAGCTTTAGCATCCGTTTTTGTCCATCCAGTTAGTGAATCGCGCTCATTGGAACTTGTTGCAATCACTCTCATAGCCCTTTTGGCAAGACAAAATTTATTATTAGCAAGTAAGGATGGATTGGAAATGATTTTAAACTTGTGATGATTGTGAGTCTTTCCAATGCATTGTTCACATAAATCGTAGCTGGGTTCGCATGTTCGACAACGATAACGTATTCCGTTCAAATGTTCCTGCAAACATCTATTACATGTAATGTCGAGATGTTCTAAACCATGAACCATCTGTGACACTACACTGTTTGATATTTTCGAAAACGTGTGCATTAAAGGATGATGAGTCGGCATCAGTGCGATACATTGATTACAAACATTGAAATTTCCACCTGGGCATTGATCACAAGTATAAAATGTTTCTTTTGGTGCAACAATTACTTTTAGGCAGTGGTTACAGTAGCGCATCATTTGCGTTAGATAATCACGACTCGTGAAGATCGACGTAGTGGGTACCTAAGTTTAGAAGAGAAATCGTAAGTTTAGTTAGCGAAAGGCTGACTAGTTAAAGAGAAATAATGGAACCCACTTTTAATGTTTTTTAATAACCAAATTTTTGACATATATTACCTTTCCCCCAGACAAACAAACGATGAACGTACTCACTTCGAAAATTTATCCAAAACTTACGTTTGAAGTCTCATGTACACACGCTTTATCAAAAACTATTTTACCTGCTGTTTGCCTTCGGATGATTTCGTTTTAAATGTTGTTGCTAATGTCAACGGCTGCGATGGTGCCTGAGTTGCTACGGGATTCATCTAGAGAAAAATTTAATCCGTTTTACTCAGAATACGATATATTTTTGTTCCTACCTGGTAAAACGTGTGGTGATCGGCACTCGCTCGATTATGTTCCTTTGTCAAGCATGGTTCACAGACAAAATGATATGCACATTGACGACACTTATAGATATTCAATGAGGACGGAATCGGAATAGCACACGATGTACATATGGTCGCCATCGCAGTCGAATAAATGAAAGACACAGATGCTCTGCTGTCTTTTATATACATACTTTTTTGCGTGGATTCGATCAGAAGTGTGAGGCAGTCGAGCGGAACGTTGCGACATAACGCTAATTGCCGACCATTGACTTCCTCCTCCTACTAAAATATTGATTTTGTAACTTCTGGAGTCGACAAAATATATGATTAATAGTCGGAAGTTGAAATGAAACCTTTTGATGATACCATCATAACCGAATGACGATGTCAAATAAATATCACTCACATACAGCCATAGGCAAAAGTCTTTTTACCTCCACATGTTTTTTAAAAAATATTATTATATATCGCATGATGTTTAATATCGATTAGAAGTGCAAAGTGTGTGCTTTCCGTCAAGTACTCATTTCGCACTTCTAATCGGTAATAAACTTAGTGCAACATCGGGCAATATTTGAAAAACGAATGGGGAAGGGGAAGACTTTTGTTCAGGGGTGTAATAGCAAGAGTATTAATGGATGAATGTATTCTGGCAAAGTAATGATACTGATTTATAAATAGTACCAGTCAAATGTCATGATCGGTCTGCTTTCGTCGTCGGGAACACTTGATATATATCGGTGTGGAGAATATTATATTTTTTACAAGCTTCCAGTCTTCTGTATGACGATTTCCCAAGACAAAGATACTTTTGCTGCTTTGTGCTTTTCTCGTCGTTCATAAATAAAATCTGCGCAGAAAATTATATACATTATATTGCCGTTTTGCTTCATTTATGCGCGCAATAACACCTTTACTTGCACATTGTAACCAGTATGTGATTCAAATTGATTACGAGAGTCGCACAGAACGCAGTTGATTTTCTTTTTTTTCCTCCAATGATTCATTCACCATTGCTTCTCGGTGTTCAGAATACAAACTATCGCTGTAGTTAGAAAAATCCAAGTGGGAAGCAAAACAGTTCGACATATTTGTAAAACAAAATCGAGGTGTCAGGTCATCTGCTCTGTATATTGAATAAATCGAGATTGATCAGAAAAAATAACACTTGTGCTCTTCTAATCACACAACAATACTTCTTTTTTAATTTATCACACTTTTTTGGTTGCTCCATTGATTTATGAAATGAACGCATAAAGTAGAGTAAAACGAAGAAATCGAATAAAAGATAAAAAAATATCAATTTTTGCCTCGGATAGTTTAGAAAGCTGAAACTTTTAGCATTAAGTCTTGATTAAACCAGGAATTAAATAGTCGCACAGAAGAATGTTCCCTACTCCATTTTCAGAATTTCAATTTCGGTGAGAGACCAATACGGCTTTCAATGAAAAATTATTTTCGATTTGTCGGGGTGCAAATTACGCATGAACCGAGCCTCAAAAGAGTTTCAGCTCTTCTAAGATGATGGTGGCTGAGACATTGATTCAAGATTCCTTCTCAATCCTTCGCATGCAAAAGTATCGCAATAGATTTACGTTTGTTTATATGGTAAAAACATTTAAATGTAAATAAGAGAATAATCGACACCGTTCTAATCATTTTATTAGAGACGTTTCGTTATGAACTCATAACATCCTCAGTCAGACAATGAAATGAATATCACACTCAACCGAGAATTAAAAAAGAACAGTAAAACTAATCATTTTCTCTCTCTCTCTTTCTTTCATTTGGTTTCTTTTCGACTGCTTTTCTCGACAAAAATATTTATTTCGTAGATTGATTATTGCACAACAGGAGAAGAATAAATCCATTTTTTGTTCTTCAATATTGAAATTATTGTTTAATTACGATATCAAATATAAGATTAATGAATCATATAATGAGGATATAAGTATAATCGGAGAAGTTCTGTGCACAAACCCACATAAGAATATATCAAGCAACTTGGAATATTTTTTCAAGAAAAACTTTTTCTGAATCTTGTTGAAGAAAATAACACTTTGCCAGACTTTCTATGTTCTCGTATATTGATTCAGTGTTTTATTTCTTTTTCTCAATATATTCTTGGGAAAAAACCAACTTTAGTAACCTCACAAATGTAAAATATTTACCTTGCTTCGACTACTTTTTCCTGTTTCTGTATGAACAACAAAGACAAATAAGGGAGAAAACCCCGTTGAATTCTACTATAAAACGTAAGAATGGTTTTGTTTCTTTCACATATTCAATTTATTTTTCCTCGCAAGATATATCAAAAAGGATGGCTAGTGGTTCGTCAAATTCTTTTGATATTAGTGCTTTTCTCAACAAATTGAAAGACAAAGACTTTATCTCCAACATCTTGAACCATTTAAACAATGCTCTTCGAGAGATGACAAAACTTGGTCGGGAGAAATTTCAAGAATATGATGAATTCGTCACAAAGGTGGATCAATTTAAAACAGGTCTACTTGATTATGTTCTGGATTCATTGGTTCATCTCGAAGTACTTCAAGATAATTTTTCAAAAAGAAAATATAAAGAAGAAAAGGATTCGGCGAAAATTACTTTTATCAAACGAACATTGGACAAAATTGATCGAAAAGTTCTGAGAGTATTTCTTATACAATGTATTGATTTAATTTCACTAACGGAACAATTAAGAGACAAATATGGCGGGAAAATGTTTATTCTCGAGCATATTACATTTGGTTTAGTTGGTTTTGTTGCTGTTGGAGCTGGACTTGGACTTCTTGCTGGGCTTGTTTTGCCAGCAGTAATACCTCAGGCGGTTGTAGTTGGAAGTATTTTAGGCTTCCTATTCGGATCGGTTTCGGGTATTTATACTCTGGTCAAGAATTGGGGTGCTTTTAAAGATGATATTCAAATTGTACGAGAAAATTTATCAAAGATCAAAGATAGTTTGGAAAAAGTTCGTGATCAATTGGAGCGTACAGAAGAACAATTAGCAAAAGCTAAAATGGAGAGTGATAATCAATACGAACAATTAAATCTTTCACCTGATCAAGCAAAACCAACATATCAGGAAATTGCTGATCTCGAAGAATATTTTAAAGCAACTTATGAAGCTTTCCTTGAATTGAAAGAAATTATTTTACATCCAATCACCAAAACAAATTCTTAAGAATTTTTCACCAAGACTCTATTGTTACCAATGAATATGAGAACATCGAACACTTCGTTACTATCGTTTCAAAAATTTTAATTAGATATGTACGATCAATTTTTTTCTTACATATTCAAATAAAATAAACATTTTAATCATAAAATTCACATTTTGCAGTAAAGTTCGAGATTTAACTTCGCATCTCTATGTTATTATTTATTTTTTAGGATGATGGTGTGAGTTTCATAAATAGATTCAAAGCACTAAACGACATGTTTCGAACCTTGCTAAAGGGTTCATCATCAGTTATGTTCTGAAACCATTAAACAAATGAAATTGTTATTTTTGTTGATTTAGTATTATGAAACTTTTATAGAAAAGAATTATTTCTATATTGTCACAGAATATTGTTAAGATAGTAATATTGAACAATATTTAAAAAAACAAACTAGTAAATTAAATGAAGATCAAATCATTGAATGGTTAATACAAATCTTATGTGCTGTTAAATATATCTCATCAAAATTTAAAACTAAAAAATTTATTTTTAAAATCAAATCAAATTAAAATTGAAAATTCTGATATTAGAAGTTTATCTTATCCTAATATTAATTTAGCGTCAACATTAACGGAATTTCCGTAAGCTTTTTCTTAATTTTATTTCGAAAATATTTCTCTTTTTTTTCAAAGATATTTTATCACACCGGAAGTATTGAAAAATAATTTCTATCTACAATCATCAGATATTTGGTAAGATTTTTAAATATAAATGGAAAATTTTCTTTACAAAAGGTCGATTGGCTGTTTATTATATGAAATGTGTACTTTTCCTGATAAAAATTTGATGAATATTATAAAAAATATCCTCTTCAATGGAGGGAAAATTCTTTATATTCCAAAAGAATATTCAAAAGAATTAAATGATTTATTTACAAAGTAAAGATTTTTATCTATTTTAATAATAAATTAGAAATGACAACAATAAATAATAAATGTATTCTACCAGCAATACTGAGAATTAATAGATATTACATGTGATAATTAACAACATAGAGAAAGTGAACGCAATGTATCGACAGCCACAAAGAGAAAAATAAAAACATTACGAAAATATTGTAAAAATTTGATGTTATACATATGATTAATATTGTTTTCATTTTTAGAAAAGCTATCGATTATTTAGGTAAAAATAAATTTGAAAAAGTTTATAATTATTTGATGAAACATCGCAAAGCACAGAAAAATGATTCACAAATTGACGATGAAAATCTCTGGAGGTTTAGAAGCATTAGAAGTACCATTGGAAGATTGTTTTTTGGTTGATTAAATTGTATTTTTAGAAATAATACTAACTTGAAAGTGTGAACAGAGGTTATTTTGCTTTTCGCGGAAATTTCTATTTAAAACTTTTTTCCAACTTAAAGAAAAAAGAGAAAATAGACATAATGAAAGAAAAGAAATATGCTCGTCTAACATTTCTCATATAAATTCTTCTTTGTCGTCTTTCCATTTTTCTCTTTATGAACTTCACTGACTATACTGCGCAGTTTCATATTGTATGATACTAGTGTTTTTTCCCAGTAAGTGAATTACGTTGTAAAAATATCAAATTAAATAACTGATAATTATTACATAGGCATAGTAGATTTCATTGATTCATTCTGTTCTATATGAATATATTCAAAGAACAGTTATTCAAAATGATACATATGAAAAAAATATATGTTCAAATATTATCTCTTCTCGTATGGATGATTCTTGTAACACCAAATTCGGTAGAAAGTTTTTATCTCAATAAAACAATAAGTATTCTACAAAATCGTATGCCCAATATTACTTGTTGGACGGATATGAGTATGGTTACAGTCAATACTATAAGTTTCTCATTTTTCGGCATTCCTTTTATGTACCCGAATATGGCATATGGAGATGCTTGTATATTCATTCAACAAAATGGTGATTTATTGAATGGTAGTCGGTTTTATACATTTCTGGCAGCTTCTCTTGTTGAGACCAATCTCTATCGACAAATAAGTCGTCGATGTGGATCGAATTTTTCACCAGAAAATACATTCATTGGTTATGGACGATGTAATCCTTTTCCTTACGAAACATGGACAACAGATTTATGTATTTGTTCAACAAATTATTGTAATTTAAATTATTCAACCTGTGTTGCTAATGTACAAGCAACATCTTCTCGACCAGCAAATTTACCAATTTTTGTTCCAGAATTAAACAACATTATTTCATGTTATACAGGATCTCATGGTTCAACCTATGTAAATGTATTCAATGATTCACTGATGATTGAGTCAATTGAAGCGCCCATTGATATAAATGCGTTTAGAACATATTATACAACACATTCTGTTACTTGTATATTCCCTCGACTGAAGGGAGGGTCATACGAAAAAAACTAAAATAAACTTGTTTGTTTGTCTGTTTGCAGCAGGTCAAAGGTCAAGGGTTAAAAGAACTTTTTTTTTTTTAACATACAAGTTCCAAAAGTTTTTTTTTTTATAAAAAACTCAAGAAACCTCAAAAATTTTCTTTTTTCATTAAAATGGCTTTGATTGGGCAATTCGATACGGGGAGTACGAATCTAGTCTTCGTTTGGCCGAAAAGCTCATGGGGGGATCGTAGGGAGAGGGGGTTCAGGTATCACCCAATAGAAATTGAGTTTTCATAAAAATGGTTTTAATTGGGTTATTCGATGAGGTCAGTACGAATCGGAGCTTAGTTTGGTCCAAAACCTCATGGGGGGTCTGAAGGGGGTGTTGGTAGGCTGTCAACCAGTAGATATTGAGTTTTCATAAAAATGGTTTTGATTGGGTAATTCGAAACGGGGAGTACGAATCTGAGCTCAATTAATGCCGGAATCCGTCGATTAGCACTTGAAGAGTCTGTCGTTTTGAAAGAATAGGCATTATTTTGAGAAGAAGTTTAAAAGGTTGTCTTATTATTCCCTCAACTTTAGAGTGCGGCATATAAAAAAAGAGTATGTGAGCGTGTGTGAGTGAAAGGTTATAATTAATATAGATAATTCACATTACGGCAAGGATTAGTGTCAAGAATAGGGGCGTGCTTGTGGAATAACCGGATAGCTATACGAAAGGATCGCTAAAACTGTCCACTCAACTAAATTGAACCTCAAAATTGAATAATCAGATAAAGTGACTCTAAAACTGACCAGTCCAGATGTAGTTCTGTAAAAAAAACGTTTTTGAGAAGAAAATGGTTTTCTATAACGTTTGGCCAAAGGTGATAGAAGTCCAGGAATTCGAATTGATGGTTAGTCTTTCGAGTTTTAGGAGCTGAAGGTTCTAATTATGGGACATAAATTTACTGAATAATGTACGATTCATTACACGATCTAATCCATTTCCTCGAGAGTAGAGTTAAGCGATGTCTAGGAAGCGAATGCGTTACATCTCATCAACTATGTTTTAGCTTTAATCAGATCTGTTTTTGTTTTACTCGTTTGATTCTATTCATGAAACCAGAAGTATTATTCCCTCGACTGTAAGAGAGGGTTAAATGGAAAAAAATTAAATGCTGTTTGTTTGTTTGTGGACAGGGTTAAAGGTCAAAGGTAAAAAACCAGAGATCAACGATCATTGATAATTTATAAAGTCTGACCGAAGGTTATCGGGGGTGAGGAATCCGAATCTATCATTAGTTTTTTCGAAATTTTTTAAGATTTATTTTTTTCGGTGAAAAGAAGAGTTTTTTCTACGACAAAAATGATTTTTTATAAAGTTTGAGCAAATGTTTTCGGGAGTGAAGAATCCGAATCCATTATCTGTTTTTCAGGAGCACTGTGATGAATTCATGATTCAAGACCGCCTATCTGGCGTTCCAAAAATAGTATGAACTTGGGGTACCGCACCGCCGAGTCGGGAGTGGCGGACCGAAGGGACGCCGACGACCGACGAGGCGCTGTTTGGGTTGCTTGAACAATTAGTTTTTTCGCAACGAGGCGATCGGGCTTGATGAGTAAATTCATCGGGTGACCAGCACAACAACAAAAATCCTAGAACTGGTAGGAATGCGATACTGAAATCGCATTGGCTTTGGTTTTATACTGCGGCGTTGTGATTAGGTTGATCGTATCTATATAGTTGAGGTAATACTATTCACAAGCTTTCTGATAGTTCTGAAGAGATAATTTAGACAAGAAAATTAAGTAGTATGTTGAATTAGGCTACACGATACAAAAAATCTATTAGTCGAGAGTAGGGCACTGTAGGGACAGCGATGATTGACTGGTAGCGGTGTTAAATCCTTCGTATTGGCGAATTCTAGTATAAAACTGATGAGCGCAGCTATTTTACAAGCAGTCCTTAACAAGAACACTGCAGCCTTTGGTATTCGTATTTTTGGCTTGTGGCAACTCTGAAATACAAACTTCAAAAAGAAGGGATAGACAATAATCGGATCAATTTCAGTCGAGGGTGAAGCGAGGCATTGCGCCGAGCGTTACTTGTTTATGTTAAACGAAAATAATGGAGATTGGTTTCAATCTACATTAATATATGAGGAATATGAACCCAGATTTTATCAATTTCTTTTAATGAATGCTACAAGTAGTTTACGTCAATTCAACGAGAGTACAACTAGTGTTATTGCACAATTAGTATATTCTTATATAAGAAATTCATCTTCTTTCTATAATATAACTATTTGCTACTGTACTACAAACAATTGCAATTTAAATCTGATTACTTGTGCTACAGGAATTAATAATAGTTATTCTTCAACTCAAGCATCAATTACTAGCAATTCGAATACTTCGTTGTCTAATGCATTAACAACTGCAACTTCTACAACACCAAAGAACGGTTGTTTAAAGAGAGTGTTTCTCACTTATGATCAATTGCTTCAAAAATTTTTCTTACTTATTTTCATCATTATTTTACATAAACTTCTGTAGACATTCTAATCTCATCAATCAAAAATAATAAACAATATTTAATTATTATTAACACAGAAAAAAAGAAAATGCGTGAGAGTATAGGTGTAGACGATTAGCTAGTCCTCACCCACACCCTTATCCTAATAGATAACTGTATTGTTTTAAAAGTTGAGGGAATTGAACAGATTTGGTGTATTACCCCATGGGTAACGAAATCGGGTATCGGAGTAGAGTGAGGGTGTGGGTAAAATCAGTGGGTTAATTCTAGAAGAACGCCCACACTCACTCCTAAACCCACACCCTCAGCATATAAAGCATGGCTTCGTCGTTTTCTATTCATTTACACAAACAAGTATATCAGATAGTTATCGTTTTGAATTCATCATTATGGTTACAAACAAGGCTTTAAGCATTGAACGAGAAGTGATAATAAAATATTTAATGAAAAACGTATTTATTTGTTTAGATTACGTTTATCATTACATTAAATTCCAAAAATACGTCTATCATCGAGCAAAAGAAATCGATGATAGAGAATTACTAAAAGAAGAAATTGAAATGCATTATCTTCAACAAAGAAGTTGTGCGAAAAAAAAAGTAGATCATTTGCTAAAAAGAAATAATACATAAGCAATTTTGTATTTAGATAACGAAAACGAAAAGACCGATCAACAAGAAGATATCATGTTTCTATTGAAGAAAAGTAGACAGAAAAAGCGTCCGAATGTTCCAATGATCCTAGTGGAGATAACTTTTTGATTTTAGAACAAATATATCGAGTATTATCTCTTGTAAAATTCTTTGTTACCATTTTTAATTTGAAATCCATGACACTTAATTTCGTTAAACATGGTACAAATGCTTTTCTTTCATTTAAAAATTGTTCTACATAATCGACATGTGCATATCTTACATCCAGTGACGTTAGATGAAGATATTTAATTATTGAATATGATTGATTATTATCAATTGTTAATGTAATCCTATTATTTGATAATTGTGATTCATCATTAACAATACACAACCATTTCAGTAGTGGAAATGATCAAGAAATTCGAATGAAAAATTCTGGCTTGAACGCATTTACATCTTGAACAAGTAGCGATGTAACAGAATTGAATAAGATATCTGGAAAACTATTGCCAAGTTCTCCAATAGATTCGAATACAAAAGGCAATGAGAAAATCGAACACATAATTTTGTTACTAATATCATGATTGAGAATACTTGTTGCAGGTTGTCCAATAGGCGTCAATGTTTTTTGAATATCTTCATTTGATATGATATATGATAAATCAATTCTATCAAGATAAGTTCCAATATAAAAAGTGAATAATTTAAGTTTAGACATATTATCAAGAATATCATGTTGAATAGAAGTACCATCAATAACTCTCTTTTGATCTTTGAGACGAATGTATAAAGTTAAATTTTCTACAAATAACATACGACGTAGAAGTGATACAATTTTATTGTATTCTTCAAATCGATATAACGATCGTAATGAAAAGCATTTCAGATAAGGTAAAATATCCTACAAAAAAAATCATTTTCAGTTGTCTAATCAATGAAAAACAATTAATACTGATATCTATTTCGCATCTTGTCTAACAACTGTCTCATATGTTCTCTTTATCAGTTCGATTCTCTTCGGTTAAAGTAAAACAAAAATAATTGGAAACTTTTTCATAAAATTCTACTCATCCACAGGGTGTCCCAAAAGTCATGTCCACTTAAGAAATGCGTTTAACTTCATTAACATACAAGCTTAATGTAATCTTTTTTTCTTGTTTGAAAGAGAAGAGCACAAAGTTTTTTTTTGTATAGTACAAAGTTTCAAAATTTTCTTGAAAGACTATCTCTTTTTGGTGACAATATGAAAACTTAGATTTCACTAAAAGTCGAAGATAACCAACTGTTTTATTACGCATATATCTCGGTCTTAGAAAGTGATAAAATCTTAATCTTTTTTCCAAAAGATACACGATGAAAAGCTCTATAAAAACTGCATAAACCAATTGTGTTGATCTGCTATGTTGGCTTGTTTATCACTCAATATGAGCAACCTATATAGTACAACTAATTCTTAGCAGAAAACAAATATTTGGAGAACTTTTTTGTTTTACCAATATCTCGACTCGAGAAAATGATAAAATCTTAAATTTATTTTTTGAAAGATGCGGCTTCGAAAGCTCTACACAAGCTCTATGATTGCAAAACAAAAACGTCTTTCAGACAGTTTTAATCTACAGTAAAGTAATAGTGCTATGTAGGTTGTTCCTAATAAGGTTCGTATTGAGTAATAAACAAGCCAACATAGCAGATCAACACAATTGGTTTATGCAGTTTTTGTAGAGCTTTTCATGACGCATCTTTTGCAAAAAAGATCAAGATTTTATCACTTTCTAAGACCGAGGTATATGCGAAACAAGAAATGTTTGCAAACATTTTTGGTTGGTTTTTGACATTTAGAAAAATCTAAGTTTTCATATTGTCACCAAATGGGATAGCCCTTCAAGAGAATTTAGAAACTTTGTACTATACAAAAAAAACTTTGTGCTCTCCTCTTTCAAACAAGAAAAAAAGATTACACTAAGCTTGTATGTTAATGGAACTAAACGCATTTCTTAAGTGGACATGACTTTTGAGACACCCTGTATTTTACTATTGGGCAAAATTGCATCTTCCATTCTGCAATTATATTCAATTTTCTCCTAACAAATCAATATTTATCAACTTTTTCGTTTGATTCTACGACAACTGATCATTCAATTCTTTCAAGGTAGTTCCAATTTGTTTCTCTCACAACAATGAATTATCTATGAAAGTTTACCATACTATGGACAATTGTTGAAGAATCGTCTATAATATCGACATTAACAGATAATGTTGTCAATTGTTGAAGTCGTCCATCAAGTAAATAAAGACAATCATCCAAAGTGTTGACATTGATATACAAATGAGTAAGAGTTGAAGAGGAGAATGTATTCAACGATAAATCACAGATTGATAAAGATGGATACGATTCATGAGATGAATCAACATTTAGTTTTTTTAAATTCTTAAAGAATCTTAATATATGTGCATAGATATTTGTAGTATAATTTTTAAATGAATCACCCATTTCATATGGATCGTCATTGACAAGAATAAGATTTGTAATTTGTACTTCAAATATTGCTCGAACTGATTCATCTGCGAAAAACAAAATCAAAAACATGCAAGTCGACTTTTTCAAGACTTTCATTATTCCTGCGAGCTAATGAAATTTAATTATTAAAGTACTTACTTGTAAAATACTTTGAGAAGAAATCTTGTTGAAAATGAATAATTTTAACTTCAGTTAAATTTGGATATTTATTTGCAAGAAGAATACGTTCCACAAAAGATGGATGAAAAGTGAATGATTTGATATAACAATGAATTCTTGGTAATATATCACTGCAAAATCGACTGATTAATGAAATATCATCAATAGAATCAAACTTCAGATTGTTAGTAAAAATATTTTCTTGTGCAAGATTGTCAAATCTTCTATTATTGACATCCAATAAAGAATAAAGAATATCGATATTGTTCAATTTCTTCAAAATCAAAAGTAATATTTCATCTGGTAAATCGAAAATATGCATATTTGATCGACTCATATTTCATTAGCACTTACACAATCACCATACAGACAAGACTATATATATATATACATGCAATATATGTTCATTGTGAAATTGAACAAATGAACTAATTCATAGAGGTCAAACATTGACGTATCGTCCAAGTCGATCATAGTCATCAAATGTGATACTTTTTTCGAATGAGAATTGAAGAAATGATATTGAGGAAAGAAAAAATACTTATATGATTTATTGTTCTTAATAGTTATTATTTTTACCCTTTCGTTATTCAATATTGACGTGTTTAAAAATAAAAAAATAGATTATTTAAATATTCGATTAAATTCAATTGATTTAAATGAGTTGTTCATATCTGTTCAAAAGATTAATCCATGACTGGAATCTATTAGTTAATATGTGATGAGAAAATAAATATCTTTCTCAAGATACTATTTAGTTTGGTATATGATGAAAAAATTTCTGTATTATTGAACAATTGTTTTTGCACTGAAGTTTTACCCGACGAATTAAACACACACCCACACCTACAGTCACATCCACTTCACATTCTGAAGATTTAATCTGAACAAAGTTTCGATGATGAATAAGTTACTTTTGCTTTTCATCTCTGTTCTATGATTCTGTTGTTTTGTTTTTATTTATGTCGTCATGCAAATACGGTTTGGTCTATTCCATTGCAAAATGAATCAGAAGAGAACAAAAGAAATATAAGTAGTTTGTTGATGTGGTCGAAAGTTGGAAGAAACCATACATAGAATAGAGAATATAAAAGCAGCATGCAAACTACATTATTTTATTTCTTTTTCGCTCCTCTCCTACAGTGAATCAAAGTTTGTCTATAGACCATACTCCGCATATTTGGAATGTTGAAGTTGATTCAAAATATGTAGGAGAACTATCTTTCCTTCGTGACCGACATCTTAATTGCTACAACAAAATAATGGAAACCTTAACTTTAAATCCGGACGTGCCAGTTGGTAGCGGTAGAATATCTGCCTTAAAAGGTAAAATATATCACGGTAGCTGGGAATATAGAGGAAGCATCGGTAGAGTAACTTTGCGCCTCTTCTATCGGCTTGTTACTGTGAACCACACAGTTCATGTCTATTATGTAGGGTCAAAACCAAACGTAATACCACCACCACCGCCACCAGAACTGCCACGTTCGTCCGATGTCGATCACTGGAAGGGTAAGAAAGGGATGGCTAGACGGCGTTGATATCCTTTTAATACCAAAGGATATTCAGTCACTAAACATTGACAGAGCATGGAGAAAAAAAGACCCCCCTCTCTTTTTTTTTGACAGGGAAGGATATTTCATGCTATTCTCAGTGTTTTGTATATCCACTCCCTTGATGTAGTCTAAAAATGAGCGTGAGCTTATCCTATTACTCAAGGGCAACAAAAAAAAAAGAGGAGGAGATTTCTATCTCAGTATGATATATAAAGCAGATAGAATATAAGATTTCTGCCATACTGAAATGGATCACCATCTCGAGAGATATATTTGTATAAAAAATTTACTATTATTTTAGGTTTTAAGTAATGTTTTTGTCGTATGGTAAGTATATGAGTATTATTTACATACTCATTCATACTCGAACATAAATCTAGAAGGATGACTTCAGTTGCCAATTCAGTTAAAAATGCTCATGTCTACTATATCGTGTCGTGCATGACTGATTACCGCCGTTAAATGGTATAATAACTAAGTGTTCGATCGTTTATGATGAAATTCGACTTAGTGAAAGACGGTTGTAACACTGCACATACCAAATGTATTGAAAACTTCTGAAAACGACCGATTAGAATCGCACTAATTTGACCCGGGAATGTTTTGATTTCATTGAGTAATAGATACTCAATTTCTATTCCGTAGAATCTCTTCCCAAACTATTGCTGATTGAGAGTTTTAGAACAACATATGAATACCACGACATATGTTTCAATCTTATTCAAAGATTCCATCAAATGGTATTAAAATTTACATTTGTCCCAAAAACCAAAAATTAAGCTAAAAAACATCGAAAATAACAAAATTTGATATTTTCCAATATTAATGAAAGACTTTGGCATAAACAAGTGTGGTTTTAATGGTAATTGATGTATCATAGACTACGGTTCATATATACCGATTTGATAGTAAACGAGAAAGAAGAGGCGATGACGGCTAAAAAATGGAATGCAGTTATTATAATTCTATTGTTTTCAGAGGAAATAATGTTCGTTTATTGATAAAGATATATAAGACTTACGTAATTTAGTTGTATATATGTTTGTTTTGTATGTTGATGTTTTTGCAAGAAGATCAGTTATTGGTTAGTGATAAAGTGTGAGATGAATATCAAGAATACGATAAAAGTATAATAGCGTTTTGAGGAATGCACTTGGATCTAGATTATGTCTCTATGAAAAAGGAAGCAATTGTAACGATAAAGAGGAAATATGAGTATATGAAGGGTATGGGTGTGGGTATCTTCTTTGAATCCATCCCTACACCCGCTGCATGAACATTTTACGACAAACTCTTTATCCTAACATTTTTGTTTTTTGAAAACTTCAGATGGTTGAATTTTTAATCATCACTATTAAAATGCCGGACATTAAAACAAAAACTGATGAACAAAAAGTTAAGTATGGTGAATTAGAATTACTAGGATAAATCCAAAATTTCACCATGTTTAACTACAATAAATGATGACGGATCGAGTTGATTGGTTTTAACTGCCTGAGAAAGTTTCTCAGGTGGTTCCATAAAATATTCATTTGCTAATGCCCATGTATCCCAATGAATATCGATCGATTTTTTTTGATTGAACATCAAGATGTATTTGAACCGCTTCATCTGGCGACACATGTTCGGTTTGCATTATTCAATGTGGTTCGTAAGCACCGATTGGTATGGCACTTAAATCAAATGAACCATATTTTTCACCAATTTGTCGAAAAATTGAAATGTTCTGAGTATAACCTGTGTCACCAGCAAAGTAAAATTTGTGTGTAGCATTCCAGACAATAAAACCGCCCCATAAAGATTTGTTCATATCGAATGCAGTACGACGACTCCTAAAAAATAGAAGATGTTTCATAAATAAGAAAAAAAACAATGAACATTACCAGTGTTGAGCTGGACAAAATGCAATGTTCACTCCTTTTTTCTAGAACACGAATCAAAGATACATATAGCGAGAAAAAACGTTTTCAGAATGAATCTTTTCTTACCGCAAAATAATACTCTTCTCACCAATCGAGCTCGACAATATTTTTTACATGATTATCGAGAAACCATTTTCGAGTACCTCGACCACAAAACCAAGTTAGTTGTTTACCATAACGTTTATTTAATTCTTTTACACTAGGATAGTCGAGATGGTCAAAATGATTATGTGAAATAAATATAGCATCGAGATCATCGGGTAGATCATTTATTAATAATGCCGGTGGACGGAAACGTTTCGGTCCAATAAATGATGCCATACCACATCGTTCACTAAAATCATTCATTTTTTTTCAAAAGAACACGAGAGACAGAGAGAGAGAGAAGAAGCATCTACCTGAAAATTGGGTCGACAAGAAATCGAAAATTATTCATTTGAACAAAACATGAAGCATGTCCAATCCAGATAAATCGTAGACCGAATTTTGTTCGATATAGTTCTTCGGATTTCTTATGTCGAATAACGGGTAACATTTTATCAAGTTCTTTTTTATTAGATGGCGATCGTGTATTGTCCGATGAAGTCATCTTCCAGACTAAAACAAGCCCTAGATGGGGCGATTTATATTGGGGATTGAATGAATTAATAAAGCGACCATTTTTCATTCGAGATGCGACTAATGCATTAGAAGCTTTATCTGCTGTAGTTGTTAGAGCCGTAACCATTGCTTGTCGAAATCTGATTTGTCCTAAGTAGAGTGATAATAATGCGAACATATACAACAGAATTCTGCAGCGCCTCAAACTTACCTGCTGTTATAATCAATGCAAGATATAAGACAGTATACATTTTCTGAAATTGTTTGGTAACTCAAATCAGAGACTAATCCTCTTTGAGTTTTGACTGTGATCGTTAGGAGTGTAGAGAAAAAGGGAAAAATGTGATTTAGTGTCAAATAGCGTATCATATCTACGTACTCACAAAACATTTTTCAATGCATCTCAATCATCATTGAGATAAGAAGAAAATTTGATCCCAACACACTACTTGTTTTTGTTTCGCTTTGTTTTCAATTAAAATATTACGAACAGTGCGCAGCGAATGAGACAATCTTTGAGTAATCTATTGAAAAATATGGTATAGTAGAGTATCAGACATTTCTTTTTGAGGGTGGGTGTGAGTGGAGACTAGAAAGAAGACACCCGCACTCGCACACCCAAAATTTGCAGCATCTGCATGACCACATGTTGCAAGATGGGCGAAAGTCGTCCAAACTAATGGTGACTATATTGTTGATTGATAATGTATATTTTTGTCGCAAAATCAATTTATTGTGGAAGTGAAAACAAAATTCAGAACTCATGTTATAACCCAATACCTTCCTTATTTGCCACAAAAAACACTAAGACAACTAGTGACACAATTACTAAAAACGCTATGAGGACTACAACTAGTAATACATTTAGCAGTACAATCACGCTTGTGGATCACATGATGGAGAAGGTCATCAGCTCCAGCTCGATGCACTCTGGTCCATGTCATGCAGCTTGTATCCACCCACACTAATAAGACGATCAAACAAATCAATTGACTGATCTTTTACATTGCCCTCGTTGCTGTTCGACGCTTGACGAGAGGGTGGTAGATGAATATAATCAAGTGTATAAATGATATGGTCCTACAATCGGACTTCGATTTAATATATACATCGACCGCCGAGCAAGGGGATATCTACAAAAAAAAAGCGTTTTTATTATGAATGAAGAGAGACAGTCCATATCACTTTTCCTTTATTCAATTCGACAAAACTACGAGAAGTTATCACTTTGAAATCATTGTGGGTTTTTTTTGTTCTCATAAGATACATATTGTACAACAATAGATCGCAGGCGATAAAAATTTCCAATGGATAATTCTCCAGTAAAAGTAAAACTCTTGAGGGTGTGGGTGTGGGCATCTTTTCTCTATCACTCACTCGGACGAGTATCTACATCCACGCCCACACTCATCCATCTTCTAATATTCAAATCATATTACCAATGACATTATCAAATCTGATGGATCTTTCTATATATGTGCATTATGTAATGTTTGATGACTTTGAAATGTCCATTACAAAAATATATTCCAAATTAAAAATAAAAAATTTTATCTCTTACTAGTCTATCTACAGATCTGACTTATCTTAATGCTTCTCGATGAGAACAATTAATTTTACAATATTTATCTCCGTCGGAAAAAGTTTATTTAAATTATAATATACATTTTGATGACGTGTATGAACATCCAATGTATCTTGGGGAAAGATTGTATGAATATAATGCACAACATCAAATGGTTCATTCTTTCAATAGATTTTTCAAATCTATACGGTTTACTCTTATCATTGATCATTATGAAGATTGTCTTAATTTATTGAACATAAATATTAGTCGTGTTTTATCTGTAACACCGATTTATCATTTGGATGTTTTTGAAATAAACTTTGCTAGTACATTAAACGATATTTTATTTTCATTAGTTGAACTTCATTGATTGAAAACTACAAAAGTCAAAATCTAGAGAAAATTATTGATATCGAACAAATTTATTTCCTTATTAAACTTTGCCCTCGTATAACATATCTCAAAATGAATCATATAAATAATATAGATATGAAATTATTTATAGGAGTTATTCTAATGAAAATGAAGACTAAATATAACCATCATCTTCGATTACTGTGTTTTGGTATGTCACCAACAGGCGAAGAAATAATTCACAACTTAGAAAAAATTATTAATGTTCAGAAATTATTTCTTAAAGGTGAGCTTGATAATATGTATGTGCAATAGAAATGATTATATTCAATGTTGTGTGTGTTTTTATACATAAGTTTTAAATTAAAAATCATTTATTCTTTCATATATAATCTTGTATTTAAAATCATACTCAGACTAGCAAATTAAATAAGTGGTACACTATTTAAATGTCTCAACACAGGAACTGAGGAAAACAATTCATCACATTCTGACAAGAAGTATTTATTAACCCATCTTCAACGTTCAATGGATAAAGTTGTGCTTATCGAAGTAACCAAAAAATGACTGAAGACATGCGACAGGTGTAGGCAGTCAGTACGAATACGTACGATGTTAAGGGAAGACCCACACCCATACACTCAACATTTCAGAGTTTTATAACAATCTTTTTCAAAGACATGTTTATAGCATTTTTCATCAGAGAAAAACAAGGTTCATTTGCTTCTTTATCTTATTGAACGTTTTCATTTTTAATAGAAAAAAAAACAAATTTTTTGAAAAAGATTCTATGTGTATTCTAATTGAGAAAATACTTCCAAAAATATATCTAAAACAAATGATTTATTATCGAAAGAAACTTTTTGAAATAGATGAATGTGAAGGAAAGAGAGAGAGAGATGAAGTCCAATCTTATTCATGTCACATCAGTGACATCCATGTCGAAATGAAATCTTTCTTTTTATTTTAACTCTTCATAACAATGTCAACATTATATTTGACTATCAGCTTAAGAAATATTCAAATATTTCTCGAATTAACATCAGAATTCAGAATAAATTATCGAAATCGATGATTAAACGTGATTTATTGCTCCAAAAATCCAAATAGACGAACTGACTTAACATCGCTCTCGTATAATGGTTCCATACTAGAGATGTGCAGGACAAAATGTTTTTTTTAGCCCCGATTCGATTCCGCAGATCTCTAAAACTAATATGTCAAATGATTAGTTTTAAATAATGTTTATATTGAGTCATCTTAATTTCTCTTTTCTGATAATAAAAGGCAAATTAGTAAGATGATCAAATGGTGTAAACTATCTCGAGGATAGGTGTGAGTATTCTTTTTTTAGATAGCTTCACACCCCAATATTTTACAGTAAGATAAACTAACTATAGATGTATTTATTTCAATATTGGAACTTTGGTAAAGTCAACCTTCAATCATGTTTGCCTGACTGTCCACTGTATCTTACGCACAAGCATAGATTCTTTTTTTTCTGACCTGTTTCAAATGATAAACAATTTTTGCCATCGAATGACTTTCTAAGCCGACATGAAATCTTAACATCACAGTAGCCATTTTTCATTCCCACTCTCTTTATCTTTTTTTTAGACAAACATGATACAAAGAGTAAATCCAAATCTTGAGGATGTAGGTGTGGGCTTGAGCGAAAAAAAAAGACACCCACACCCTCAAGAATGGTGAGCTATCAGCTTAATAATTTCTGGCAGATACGGATAGTTGCCTCAAACATAGCTTCAATAAACGGCAATGTATAGAGGAATCAAGCGTAGATTGGTAGATAAATGTCTTGAGCTATTGATTCGCATCAATACAAAAGAATTGTTAGTATAGAGTCGGAAACGCTTGAGCTCTGAAGTTTTCAAGCAGACTCATAGTAAAGTATTAATTGCAAACATACATAATCTTGTTTTTGATCATCTGCTTCAATCTCAATTCTGACGTAGAGTGACAGTGATGGATATATTGGGAGTATGGGAACTGTAAGTTCTGCTACATTAACATCGCTTTCTTTGATGGGACATTGACACTTGTGTTGGCAAGTGTCTGGAGTACTCAAATTAAACGGCACTGGAATACCCGCAATAATACCTTAGAGAAATCGAAAAAAAGTTCAAAGCTTGATTAAATGACGAATTAAAGTCTTCATACTGTACATGTTGATTGAAGCAGTTTTTGAAGGGGCATTTGCTTGAAATGTCAAATTCATTGAATAGCTCTGTCCTTTGATGAACTTACATGGAAGAACGGTACAACCGGATACATCAAATGCTTGGATAATACCTAATTCAGAGCCACAATCTTTAAATGGTCTAGTTAAATATATGATCTGAATGTTCGAACTATTCTTTATCAAGATACACTTACAGATGTCTTTCATTCTCATGGTCGATTAATTAAGAAATATGCATGTTTCTGTTGATTTTTTCTCTCTCTTTCTTACTGCATGAAACACAGAATCTGATCGTAAAAGATCATTTCCTAGCCTTCATTTTCTTGTTAAAAATTTCTACACTACAAGAGTTGTGAATTTACAACAAGCACTTATATGTAAAGTTACCAGTACGAACTTTAAACAGTCTTTTCCCTAATTCTCGCAGGACAGTGAAATAAATAATACAAATATTACATATTTATTAAAGAAAATTATTTACAACCAAATATCAAGTGAATGTGGTTTATGTCGATAAACCAACGAACGATTCCAATTTTTTTGTGTTGATTTCGATATAGCGTACCATTCAGAAGCCAATTCTGATAAACTGTAGATACTATCTTTAAAAGCTTCAATGTGTTGACAATATAAGGTGAAGTGAATCAGCGCTGGAAAGCGTTTGAAGACTTTACCAATCCAACGAACAAGATGACGAGTTGATACCCATGAACTTGGATGTCCATCCACGTTTAAAGTTAATTGTTTTAAACGAGGTGATGATGTTGAATTAGCAAAAAGAGCATCCACAATTCGAACAAGATCACCAAGAGAACTACTACCATTATCGGCAGTAAAGTAAACAACTTCCAATTGCGATGCAAGTAAAATCCCAAGTTGAATATTCGATGAAAGAACACGACCATAATCCAGATTTTCATGGATATAAAGCTCTCGTAAACGTGGTGAACGTTGAGCAATATGAAGTAAATGTGGAATATTATCACCAACCACACCGCTATATAAATTTAAAATAGATATCGTTAGAAAAAGTCGTTTATAATTTACTCACTTATCATCTGGAATATTGTCTCTAAGGTTGATTTTCTTCAGACGATGCCAACGAGATACTGCTCGTATTTCATCCTTCACACAGTCCAATTCGTATATATTCATCTAGAAATAAAAATCATTTTAATATGGTCAAATCTTGACATATCTATCACTTACTTCTTCCACATTGTCGTCCACTGGATCATCTTGAATGTAATAACTACTATTTGTTGTATTATTACTGTCTGAATCTTCTTGATCAATATCATCGATCTTCATCATTGGATATGAAAAAGACATTTCTGGATAAGAAATATTTATTGTTCCATACCTCGCTGACCAATTATCACCGGTAGCTTGTCGATATTCGGCGAATACCTCTTTATAAACTTGTTCAGGACCATGAATATAATGTACATCCAATTTTAATTTAAATGTAAATACCTTAGAATTCGTTAAGGTTAACCATCGTTGGAGTTCGACTACTCGCGGTAAACCACCATTCATACTAAATTTTACATGTCCCGAAATGTTCAATTGTTCAAGTTGATGATGACGTTGAAGATCTTCAAAATAATTTAAAACCCAAAACAGACCTCCGGAGAGTTTGATATTAATATGACATAATTCGGGTGCGAATACTTGTTTCAATGGTATTGGACTTGGTGGTTCGCTCATCATACCAAAATTATGATTACTGTAGAAATAATTCAAGGAGTAAAACAAAGTTTCAAAAAGTGACACTTACTATGAGAGAGTAATTTTCGATCGACGTAATTGTGGAAGATGACCATCATCGAGTAATTCGATCAATAATTCGGTTGAACATTCATCAATCAATAATGATTGTAAATTTTGATGGATGTTCATAGGATGACAATGTTTAATGAACATAGCAGTATAATTCTTCTCCATACGATATCCAATTTTTAAGTATAGTGATCGTAATTCACGTAATCGATTGAGAAGTGGAATAATAATGGCATAATCATCAAGTCCTTCGTAATCATAATGATAATATCGTTCATAACTTATATCGAATGAAAATGAGTGAATACCAGACAGTATTGAAGAATCATTTAGTAATGTTTCAAAAAGATGACATGGAATATCTTCGATAGTAACAGCCTTCAGTAAGGGCCAGACGAGTTCATTTAATGGTACTTTATTAACAAACCAATCGACCGCATCTGGAGCACGACGTTCCGATAGATGAAGATAAACAATTTTTGAAGAATTCTTCGGTAGAATTTGCATCAAATAAGTATGATAAAGTTTAAAGTTCATCATTCGATTATTTGGTAAACATAATGGTTGTTGTTTGACCATGGTGGTGAATCGTTTATTAAGCTTTCTGAAACCACGAAGTAGGTCATGAGGAGCGAGATAGTCGAAAATAACACAAAAAAGTTCAAGAGGTAAATCTTCGAGATGAGAATAACGTTGATTCATGATAAATGTGGTGACAACTCTTTCGACGACGTCTGCTTATATATCGGCAGATATGTCTATCTTGACCTTGAGAACAGAGAAATAAACATACATATCGTCCGATAAGTCGGAGAGAATGTGTATGTTTGAACTTGAATATTTGTTAACACTGTGAGGATGACAATATGAGAAAGAACATTAGATAGAGACGTACAACAAAACAACACACTTCTTGTTTGTAGTTGTCATTTTTTTATCTAAGATAGACTCATATCCTAGCATTACGCTAAGAACGTGAAGATAAGATGGATACCAATCGATATACCGAAAAAACCATTTCTATTGGATAATAATAAGAATAACTTAAGACAATATTGAAAAATTATGAATATCTTTCAAACTTAATAGTTGAAGTCGAAAAGTTGAACGAAGTAATAAATTAAACAATCTACAGGTGTATCACTGAACTAAATTTCTTTTATGTAAATAGTCAAAAACGAATAAGTTATATATGATCATACAGACGAAGGATGAGCATAGCGATACGTGTAAACATCATGTCGAACAAAACTATGCGAAGTAATTATTAGACGCGACTCATATTTGCAGACATAATTGAAAAGAGGATGCATCTTGGTAATTTCCTTAAAGCTGCGTTTCGAATAAGAAGAACGCATAGGTCCTTGCATATAAATACGTTAAACTAATATTTTCATGGCATTCGTTGGCCGCTAAATGAAATTGTAGAAGATTTGGAAAAAGTGAGAGAAGAAAATCGAATTGTCCGTCGTGAAAAAAAACGTTTTTAAGACGATCAAGTCGAAGATATTTCAGGGATGGAACGGGACCAGTTATAGAAACACATGAGAAATCAAGATAGACCAAGGAAGGATAAATCGATAATGCAAGAATGATTGGTTTGCATTTACCAAGATGACAGGTTCCTAAACGAGGAAATTCACCACGAAATATGAGTTCTGTTAGTTTAGGTGAGGTAACTGGTAAAGTTATTGATTGTAATCGAGAACAAATAACAGGACGAATGATATTTTCGATTTCATTATAATAACGAGAATACCACTCATTATCTAATGTTGAATAAACTTCAAATAAACGATTTCTACCATTGATAGAATACGATTGACAATGTGTATGTGATTCACGAAACTGGATGAAGATTTTATTAAATGAGTAAAAGAAAGAGAGAACAGAAGAATCTAAATACTTCTGTGTCACAAACTGAGAGAATGCAAAATAGATTTCACCAGCTGTAAAATAAACACATATATCTGTCAAAACTTCCACAGGTAAATCTTCTAATCGACTAATTATTAAATAATCCATGTCTCCCTTCTATTCTTATATTATCACAAGACAAATTAAACATTACGGTTGCTTTTTATGGTCTTCAAAAATCATTGTGTCTTTATTCTACACAAATCCACCAATTCGATTAAAGCGGTAATAAGACGCCCAATGAAAATGTATTATGTGTTGAGAATAATTTTATTTTTAATAGTATAGCGACTAATTGATTTTCGATACGGTCAAAATTTGTTTTTTTAATGACAACATCCTGATTTAAGATTAGCTTAGTAATCGTTCGTAAAAAAACTGCATACTGGTTATTTCGTTATTAGTTTCGCATTTCAGCATAATTTTTCTTTTTAAAACAGTTTGGACAAGATAATAAATCTATTTCCCGAAAAGACCGAAAATGTAAATAGTAAATTTAATAATTAAACGAGAATTTCGCTATCAGCATTAGATTCATATGTCACTTTCTTCTATACCCTCACCCCACCCAAAAGCCATTTCAAAAGGAAAACGTCTAAAATACATAAAAATAGCTGAATTTTTAATTGTCTATAAATATCGACTTTATTTTACCTTTGAATCTTTACTCTTAGTGACTATTGATTCAAAAAAGCGTAACAGCAACAATACCTCGTAAGTAATTCTAATAGAGTAAAAAAAAAGTTTTTCTCTACATTTTGCTCGTTATCTTAACAACTTAAATCCAAAAGTAAAATTAAATAAATATAACCAGTAGCTAATTAAGAGAATAAAAATATGACGGGAGATAATCCGAACAAAACACAACTGATAGAGGAATTTGCATGTATTTAAACAAATAATATCTCTATTAGACCATGTCTCCCTGATATTTTATTCAAATCTAGTTGAAGTCAGTTTCCACATAGCGAAATCTGTCAGCTAGAAAAGACAGATAATTAATCCTTTACACATGAATATTTTTTCTTTTACCAGTCAATTCTACAGGATAAAGAGGTAAATATTTATTCTTCTATATGTGAGTTTTTTTCCTTCTCGTTTCATCGGATAAAAAGATAAATATTTATTCTTCTAAATGAGTTTTTTCTTCTTCTACTTTATCAACACAATTTCATAGAATAAAGAGATAGATATTTATCCTTTTAGGTATTACTTGTTTTTGATATGCTTTTAATTCTTTCAGATAGAAAGATTGGAATCTCTCGTAGAATGACTTTTCCAGTTTTTAACTAGTTATAAGTTTGAAATTGAGCATAAGGGCCTGTTTAAATCGGCAATGCTTAATTTTATTTCCGTCTTTTTTGCTGCGGCGTAGATATTTTTTTTTTCATAAGGTTTCAGCCTAGTTTCCATCTGAATTAAGTTTTAGCTTGGGAAAGATCTAGTAATTGTGAAGTTTTAAGTTTGATCATAATTGTTTAGGAAAACGACAAGAGTTATTTAAAAGAATGTTGCTTGACACGTTTCCTAAGCATATTTTTGTATGTCTATTATTGGAATTTTTTTCGCGTACACCTTCCTAGCTAGCATCATAATAACGCGTCGAGTATTTCCTTTAAACTTTCCAACATGAGTTTTGAATCTTATCGATTTTTAAACGTACCCGGTATTTTTGTGTGCATGTGTTTGTGTTTTCAAAAATTGCCTATCAGTTTTCTTCGGAGCAGCTTGTAATTAACAGAATTATGGGATAGTTTCGTACCGTGGTAGTAGTAACTACTGTAATTTCCAGGAGATTTAGAATAATTTGCGTTTTATGTGTTAATAGTCGCGAGAATCCGAATACTACTGGCACTCTGTAATAAGCCAAACGAGTTGAAATAAAAACACAATTCTTTTTTCGTTCTGTTCGGTTTAGTTTAAAGTGCGGGTGAGATGAGGACCACTGTAGACTAGATCGACTGGTGCGAGTAGCTTCAATATAAAACTTTCTTCATCCTCGTTTGTTGAAATCGCATTTGACTATATTCGCCACTACTAAGCATCATATATTTAGAAAATACTTAGAAACGAGTGAAGAGATAAAAACATGACGACGTTGTAGAGGTTATGATATTATAGTTTTTTTTTGTTTGGTTTTAATGAAAGGGGACTGGTAAGAAAACAGTCTTCAGCCATGAAGAAAGAGTCAGTGATCTCAAACACGCCAAGTCATATGCTGAATACTCCAATTCGAACAAATGGCATACGGAACAACATGAAGACATGTCTAACAATCGGACTCATTTTCAGCTTGATCCAAGGTAAGAATCTCAACAAATCCGCATGATTCTAGGCTCGGGATCTCAAAAATCGGTGTGGGTGTGAGTGTGAGTGTGAGGATAGTTGAGAATAGATGCTCTAAATCTTCACACCCACACCCACCCTGATCTACAAGAAAACTTATTATTCGATCGCCAGCTAAAGGTTCTAGATCTAGCATGATATACCGTAGTTCTGTTTTCTTCGATTCGATAACGACTAATATTCCGTACTACATTGACTTACTTGTTTAATCGGAGATTCATTCGTACTTTGTTAAGCAATCGTACAGCAAAAGCGCCCCCACCTCCCGACCAGATTCGATTTCTCAGTTGATTGAACAATACAGAGAAGTGAGTTTTACCATTCATGATTGTATTCGATTTCTTTAGTATCGACTTCAACTGGTGTTTTCTCGAATTATTCGGGCATTTTGTCATCGAGCAGTCCAAGATTTTCTCGATCTAGTGGTAACAGCGGGGTCTACTATTATCAAACGATTAGAGTGTCGGTTTCCATGACCGGCACGTACAATTTCACAAGTAGTAGTTCAATCGACACTTACGGCTACTTTTACAATGATTCTTTCACTCCATCCTCTCCTTCTGTGAATCTGATCATGTCTGATGATGACGGCAACGGTGGTCAACAGTTTCGAATCAGACTTAATTTACAGTCATGGTATACATATGTCTTGGTTGTGACAACATATATTAACAGTGTCACTGGAAATTTCTCGATCAAAGCAGTTGGTCCAGCACGGGTTGATCTGATTTCGTTTACACCGATAACTAGTAGGCCAATTAGAACAACAAGTGAGTGAATCTAAATGTATGTTGCATTTGTAAAAACCATGGACAGTGACAAATTAGAGTAGTTGGTGAAACTGAGGATTCGGATTTACAATCCGCTTGACAGTGTTTTATAAACCTCCTGCAAACTAGCGCTAGAGTATGTCGTTGTACGTTGGGCTCTCACTCGACCGAATCAATTCAGTCAGCCGAAAGCGGTGTACTGTAGGTCAGGATATTCAGACTCGGGTGTATCTGGCAGAATTTAGTATGTGACAAAACCAAAGTTTAATAGTACATCACATACTGGTTTGCTTGTTCATAAACCAAAAGAAAATGAAACTTAAATGGAACAGGTATCTTAGTGGCGCTCTCGATAGTTCATGACTGACTGTAATTACAGATGCTCATAAGTGAAAATGACAAGTCGGTTTTGACTTTAAAAATACTCGATTCAAAATACAAAAGTAATGATCCAATAGACTCATTGTATTCTATTCTCCAGCGACTGCAATTTGTATATCGTACCCTGTGCTAGATCGAGAGATCTTGCGGCAACCTTAGATACTGCTGAAAGATCGTTCTTTAGACTGTGTCTTCCATTTAAAGCTTCAGAGACGAATATCACTAAGCCATATGCTTGAGAAGAACTCAGTCACTACTGATAGATGCACAAACAAAATAAACTATTAAGTGTGTCCACCCCGAGGAGCAAACTGCAGAGACTTTGTTCTTAAATTTCGCTTTCGTCTCTAGAAGTCTTTAAATGACTTAGAAGTCTCGAAGCTCACTATTTCCCATTGCTCGATTTCCAAACCCGAGAGAAAGTATCATGGAGTCTTCATACAGCTGAAAATCGAACAACCCAGTTAAAATATAGATTCGGCGTTCAAACCTCTATACTCTGTTGATAGTCGACAATTTCTTGACTTGCTGATGCAATAATATAACAGTCCGAACTAGAGGCTGCCACGCGTGACCTGATAGTGACTATATTTGGTTTGATCGGAGGGTATTACTTTGAGAACCACAACGTTGTGCCTCATACTGATGCGTCTGTTCGATTTTTTTAGCCACGATCCAGCCTATTTTTTCATCGACTTATTCGGGTACTTTGTCATCGAGCAGTCCAAGATTTTCTCGATCTAGTGGTAACAGCGGGGTCTACTATTATCAGGCGATTCGAGTGACTGTATCCATGAGCGGTATCTACACTTTCACAAGTAGCAGTTCAATGGACACGTACGGCTACTTTTACAATGTTTCTTTTGATCCATTCTATCCTTTTGTGAATGTGATCACGTCTGATGATGACGGCAACGGTGGTCAACAGTTTCGAATCACACTTGATTTACATTACCCACGCACATATGTCTTGATTGTCACAACGCATGGTACGAGTGTTAGTGGAAGCTTTTCGGTCAATGCCGTTGGTCCAGCATCGAGTGTTCTGACTTAGTTTACACCAATAACAAGTGAGTAAATCTAAATGTACGTTACATTGAGGGTGTGAGTGTAAGGGATTCAGAAAAAACACACCCACACCCACCTTCAGGACTTGGTCACTTTTACACTCTTCTGATACTTATCTGTACATTGATTTATTGATACAACAAGATGTTAATCTATGTTCTGCTAATTAAGTTCAATTTTGTGAATAATTGTAAAGGAAGAATACAGTATTTTGAGTATAGCAATGCGATGCTTCGTATCGATCGTTGTATTCATCTTGTTTAGCAACAACATCACCTATCATTTCGTCAGTCCACTTCGGCATTTTGTTATCGAGCAGTCCAAGGTTTTCTCGGCCAAATAGTGCCTCCGGCTCCTACTATTATTACCAGACAATCCGGGTGGTAGTAATGACAAATGGGATGTACACGTTCAAAAGCAGTAGTTCAATCGACGTATACGGCTGTTTTTACAATGATCCTGTTGATCCATCCTATCCGTCGCAAAATTTGATTGTATGCAATGATGACGATGGCGGTAGTCGTCAGTTTCGAATCAATGTCA